TCTGAACATATGAGACGTTTTCTTAAAATCCCCATTTTTCTTATTTTTCTTGTTTTTTTCATAAGGTAGTGTTCAGTTTTGTTGATTATTTGTACCTTTTTTTTAATCTGTTTGTAGTTTTTTCATAAATAACTGTTCCTTGGTGACCGTGTCACACACTGATGTATTATATCCAGCACAATGGACACCTATTGTTTGAGAGATCAGGAATGCCCTTTCCTTGATTCCCTTCACGAGGGAACAGTACACCTCTTATAGTAGACACCGGATGATTTCACCAAAACCCATTGCATCTTCCTCCTCGGCACCCTGTGGAGAAGAGTCATCTGACCAGAACTATGGCATGAGCAAGAGATAAACTTTCATCATGTGAAACCACAGAGACATAGGGGCTTACCGATCACCAGTAATTAGTATTACCCCGGCTCAAACATCTTCTTTTTGTGGAAGTGCTTTTCTTCTCCATGCATGTAGGCAAAGCCACGTTCTTAAAGTCCACAGCTCAGCCCCATCCCCAGATACACTTTATTGATTCAAAGGTGGCATCTGATCCAAACTGAGCCAACTAGTATCCTATCTCAGGATTTAAGAACTCATACCAAGAAAGAGAGTCAGGCCTTCTCCAGTGGTGAAAGATGTAAGATGTGAAAAAAACCATCAGAAGTAACTGTGAGGGAAAATGAACACAGAGAAAGCCAGAGAGAAGGAGAGAGGGTGTGGGAGAGATGGACAGAGAGGGAGGTGGAGAGAAAAAGAGAGAGACTTCTTTTTGAATCTGTGAGCCCCCTTGATCTTTGTCCACCTTACACCTCTGTCCTTTCCATAACTTAGATGTGGTATTCTCTGATATTTTTCCAATACATTCTCATTTCTTGCCTAAGTGAGTTTAGGTTGGTTTCTGCAATTTGTGACCAAAACTATAGTGGCCAATACATGTCATAGATGGTTGCTTCTTGAACTGTAATACAGTGTTAAAGTTTATTATAATAGATGTCCAAAGAATCAATCTCCAATGAGTATTTAAGTACCTAATGTGACACTAAAGGAAATACAGAAGCAAGAAAATAAAAACAGGTTTTGATGTTTAAAAGCGTGTAATCTAGCTTGGGAATTAGATACTGTATAAACCAATGCCAGACTCCATGGCACAGAGAAGTAGGAAAAGACTACAGAGAAATGGTTAGGTATCTGGCATAGAGAATACTGATGAAAATCACTCTCACTAGAAGGGACCGAGGTCCTGCTAGAGTTGATGGAAAATGCTAGAGAAGAAAGGTTTGATTGGAGTATTTCTTTCTTTTCTCCTGAGACATTGACCAGTTGATAATGTTTTTGTTATGCCCAGAATTCGTGATCCCCAAAGACCACTAGGGAGCCGAGTCCGATGCAAAAGCAAAGAGCCTTTATTCGAGCTAGCTCGAGCTCAATCCCCTACCTGCATCGACGCAGCGGTGAGATACCAGGGAAAGAGAGCGAGTTTCAAAAGAACAAAGGTTTTATTGGGGCCTGGGGGCAGTTGGTGAGGTAATGGCTATGGCCTCAGCCGATTGGCTGGGGAAGGGTCCTGGGGAAGGGTCCGAGTCCTGTTAGGCAGGTGAGGGGGGGGTTACTCAAGGGGAGGAGGTGTGGTCAAGGTGAAGGACACAGAACAAGATGGAGTCGGCTGGCGTAGGCCCGCCCTTTCATTCCCCCCTTGTCATGTAGCTTAGGGACCCAATCATGGGACCGGCTGCATTTATGGTGACAAGGGGAACAGAGTTTGGAGGTTTACGCAAAGTTCTGGGAACCAAGTGTCCCTGGGGTGGCTCTGGGACGTCTGATTAAGTATTGTCCCCGAGCTGGTGTCTATGATCTGCCAGGTGATGTTTTGGGGGGCGTGGGGACTCCCGGCAGCATGAGCAATGACAAGCAGAGTTAACAGAGTTACCAATATTAGGTAGGTCAAATGCGCTGTAGCTTGAGCTTGAGCAGGTTGTGTTGGTCCCGACTGATGGCCCATCGCGTGACAACGTCCTTCCGGATCGAGGAGGGGTCCGCTGGCTGAGCGTGGGTGTGATGGACCCAGGTCGCGATGCCGTCTACCTTGAGAGCGGTGGGGGTTGTCAACACCACGATGTAGGGTCCCTTCCAGCGCGGCTCGAGAGTCTCTCGGTGGTGCCTCTTGACGTAGACCCAGTCTCCTGGCCTGTACTGATGAGGTGTTGGGATCGGGCCAGCCTCGTAGATGGCACGGAGGCGCGGCCAAATGTCCTCGTGCACCCTCTGGAGCCCGCTCAAGGAAAGAAAAAGTTCTTGATCTTTAAACTCAGCAATAAGTTCAGCTCGAAGGCTGGGAATAACAGGGGGTGGCCTGCCAAACATGATCCGTAGGGAGTAAAACCCAGAGTGTAAGGAGTGTTTCTAACCCGGTAAAGGGCGTACGGTAGGAGAGTCACCCAGTCCCCGCCAGTCTCCATGGTTAATTTGGTAAGGGTCTCTTTTAGGGTTCTATTCATTCTTTCTACCTGTCCTGAGCTCTGGGGCCTATAAGCACAATGTAATTTCCAGTTTGCCCCCACCGCCTTGGCTACTGCCTGCGTTACCTGCGAGATAAAAGCTGGTCCATTGTCTGATCCTACCATGGCAGGAAAACCATACCTGGGTAAGATGTCTTCTAGTAGCTTCTTAGCCACCGTCTGAGCTGTTTCATGCTTGGTTGGGTATGCCTCCACCCAGCCAGAGAAGGTGTCTGTAAATACTAAAAGATATTTAAAACCATACTTTCCTGGTTTGACTTCAGTGAAGTCGACTTCCCATTGGGTTCCCGGTCTGGTGCCTCTGAGCCTGGTTCCTTTTTTATTTGATGTGGCCCTCGCGTTGGTGAGTTGGCAGGTCTTGCAGGCAGATACAACTTGCTCTATTTTGGTGTCCTGTTGGTGAATCTTAATTCCGGCATGTCGGATTAAGTCTTTTAATTTTCGGGCCCCCATGTGAGTAGACTGATGCATGTGCTCTAATATTGAGACTCCGAGCCGGTCTGGCAACACGAGCTCCTTGTTATGTGTATACCACCATCCCTTTATCTCCTGGGCCATAGGGAGTTTCTTGATCCGCTGTAACTCCTCCAGGGAGTATTTGGGCTGGTCTGGTAAAACTGGGTCTCCCGGGTCTGGTAGTTGTATGGTCATGGTGGGGACTGGAGTAAGGGCTACTGCCTTGGCTGCCCGGTCAGCCTTTCGATTACCTCTAGCTACTGGGTTATCAGCTTTTTGGTGCCCTTGGCAGTGGATAATGGCTAGCTTGGCAGGAAGCCATAAGGCTGTAAGCAGGTTAAGTATCTCCTGCTTATTTTTTATAGGCCGTCCTTCTGCCGTCAGTAACCCCCTCTCCTGATAAATTGCCCCATGAATATGAGCTGTGGCAAATGCATAACGGCTGTCTGTGTAGATGTTAAGCCGTTTTCCAGCTCCCAGCATCAGTGCCTTGGTGAGGGCTATGAGCTCTGCTCGCTGGGCTGACGTTCCAGAGGGTAGAGCCTCCGCCCATACGGTGTCCGTTTCGGTGACCACCGCTGCACCCGCATACCTGTGTCCGTCTCGCACAAAGCTGCTGCCATCAGTGAACCAAGTAGCCTCAGCATCGGGGAGGGGCCGGTCGGTCAGGTCCGTCCGGAATCCATGTACCTGTTCCAGGATTCCCGCACAGTCATGTAATGGAGCACCTAGGTCAGGGTCGGGCAGCAGGGTTGCAGGATTGAGGGCTGCACTGGGGTGGAACCGCACTCGTGGAGGGTTGAGTAGGAGGCTCTGGTAATGAGTCATACGTGTGTTGCTCATCCATCTATCCGGAGGCTGTTTCAGGACCCCTTCAATGGCGTGTGGGGTCGTGATCCAGATCTCCTGTCCTAGGGTCAGTTTGTCTGCATCCTTGACTAGGAGTGCTGTCGCTGCAATAATTCTTAGGCATGGTGGCCAGCCGGCAGCCACTGGGTCTAGTTTCTTAGACAGGTAAGCCACTGGACGGTTCCAGGGGCCTAAGGCTTGAGTTAGAACCCCTTTTGCTATTCCCTTATGTTCGTCTACAAAGAGGTGGAAGGGCTTTGTAATGTCTGGTAGGCCCAGGGCTGGGGCACTTAGGAGGGCCTTTTTTAACCGATTAAAGGCAGTTTCTTCTTTTTCAGCCCATTTAAATGTTTTCCCTTCTTTGGTAGCTTCATATAGGGGCCTGGCGATCTCAGCAAAACCTGGAACCCAGAGGCGGCAGTAGCCGGCTGATCCTAGGAATTCCCTCACTTCTCTTCGGGAGGTGGGAGTAGGGATCTTTAGGACAGTTTCTTTTCTGGCTTCTGATAACCACCGCTGTCCGCCCTCCAGGATATATCCCAGGTAACTTACCCTCTCTCTGCATATCTGAGCCTTCTTCGCGGATACCGGGTATCCTAAGGCCCCCAGGGTAGCCAGCAGGTCCTGGGTCCCTCGCTCACAGTCTTTGGCCGTGTCCGCAGCAATCAGGATGTCATCTACATACTGTAGAAGGGTGAGGCCAGGGTGCTCTCTTCTGTACTCACCCAGGTCCTCGTGTAGTGCCTCGTCGAAGATGGTGGGTGAATTTTTGAATCCCTGAGGTAGCCGTGTCCAGGTGAGTTGCCCACTGTAGCCCTCCTCCGGATCATGCCACTTGAAGGCGAACAAGGGTTGGCTCTGGGGTGCCAACGGCAGACTGAAGAAGGTGTCCTTTAAATCTAGTACAGTATACCAGACCCTGGAGGGCGCCAAGGAGCTCAAGAGAGTATATGGGTTGGGAACAGTTGGGTGTATGTCCACGACCCTCTTATTTACTTCCCGGAAGTCTTGTACCGGTCGGTAGTCATTTGTGTGAGGCTTTTTGACCGGCAGTAAGGGGGTGTTCCAGGCAGACTGGCAAGGAACTAGTACCCCTAGGCTTCGTAGTCTCCGGATGTGTGGCTGGATCCCCTTCCAGGCCTCCTGAGACATGGGGTATTGTTTGATCCTTACCGGACTCTCTCCTGGCTTGAGCTCTACCAGGACTGGGGTTCTGTGAGCGGCTAGTCCCATCCCCTCTGTCTCTGCCCAAACCGAGGGGAATTCTCGTAGCCATTTGTCTATATTATTCTCTCTCAGGAGCGCCTCCTGGTGGAGGAGGTATTCATCCTCCAGTTTCATGGTCAGGACCTGGATGGGGTGGCCCTTGCCATCGGTGACCTGAGGCCCCCCTTGTCTGAAAGTTATCTGAGCTCCAATCTTGGTCAGTAAGTCCCGGCCTAACAGCGGGTAGGGGCATTCTGGTATTACCATAAAGGAGTGGGATACCCGGCCCGTTCCCAAATCTACTGTTCTTCGGGTAGTCCATGAATACTGGCTCATACCAGTTGCCCCTTGTACCCAGGACTTCTCGCTAGCTAGTTTTCCTTGTGGGGTGCGGAGGACCGAATGTTGTGCTCCGGTGTCGACAAGGAAGTCAATAGGGGTCCCCTCCACTTTAAGAGTTACCCTGGGTTCGGGGAGAGGGTCCGAACCCTGACTCCCCTAATCACTTAGTTCATCCAGCTCTAGGACTTTTACTCGATCAGTCTTGCTTCCCTTCCCGCCAGCTCTTTTTGGACAATCTCGGGCCCAATGCCCTATCTCCTTGCAGTATGCGCACTGATCCTTCTGCAGCCTCTGCTTCCCCCCCTTGGTGCTTTTACCTTTTCTTGTGTCGTCTGCCAGCTGCCGGAGACGGCGGTCTCATTCCTCGGGGAAGTCAGCAGTGGTAGCTAGTACTCGAGTCTGCTTACTGCTGGCAGCCACCATGGCGCGAGCCTGCTTGTCCTCAGGAGGCTCCCGGTTATTATATACCTTTTCGGCTACCACCAGTAAGTCCTGCAGACTTTTTTCTCCTAGTCTATCTATTTTCTGTAATTTTCTCCTAATGTCTATGGCCGATTGGTTTACAAAGGCCATGATAACAGCTGCCTTGCTTTCTGGAGCCTCTGGATCCATGGGGGTATAGGTACGGAATGCCTCCATGATCCGTTCTAAAAAGGCAGCCGGAGATTCATCTTTTCCCTGTTGTACATTTCCTACCTTGGCCAAATTGGTTGGCTTTCTAGCAGCCATTCGGAGACCCCCCATTAGAGTCTGGCGGTAGACCCGGAGCCTCTCCTTACCTTCTGCCGTGTTGAAATCCCACTGGGGCCGAGTTAAGGGGAAGGAGGCATCTATCTGAGCCTGGTTGGTGGTGGGATTCCCGTCTGCGCCTGGAACTAGTTTTCGGGCCCCACTGAGGATTCTTTCTCTTTCTTCAGTCGTGAACAGGACCTGCAAAAGCTGCTGGCAATCATCCCACGTGGGCTGATGGGTAAAAAGAACAGAGTCTAATAAATCAATAAGTCCTGCCGGTTTCTCGGAAAACTTAGGATTCTGAGCTTTCCAATTGTAGAGGTCACTAGTGGCGAAAGGCCAATAGTGATGGGGCTGATTCCCCTCTGTGTCTGGGGGTCCGGTGGCTCGCAGGGGCAGAATAGTGGAGTCGGCGGTGGAGGCGGATTGCCCCCTCTGAGCCCTTTGTCTGGTAAAGGGTGGGCTTCCCCCTGGAGCGTTTCCGCCTCCCGCTCTCGGGAACAGCGTCTGCCTCCCCCAGAGGGGGAGGATGGTGTTCTTCCGGCATCCTAGAGGGGTTATACGGGGGAGGAAAAATTAATTCTTCTTCAGTACCCCGCTGTAGGACAGGGTAGAGGGGTGCTGAAGGCTGGGTAAGACTTTTCCTCTTCTCTGTCTCCTGCAAAGCAAGAATGGGTTTTGGCTCCGGAGGGAGCAGGGTTAGGAAGGGCTTAAGCCAAGAGGGTGGGTCTTCTACAAGGTCCTGCCAAGTGATAATGTAAGGGAGCTGATCAAGATGGCCCACCTTAGGCTGAGAGATGATACTCCTGACTCGGTGGATGGTAGGGAGGTCGAAGGTCCCCTCTGGTGGCCATCCGACATTGAAAGTTGGCCACTCGCTAGAACAAAAAAACTGCAACCGACCCTTTTGGACTTCCACACTGAGGTTGTTAGCTCTTCCCCTCACATCCTTAAAGTGATCAATCATAATACTTAGAGGAGTAGTCTGAGTCTGTCCCATAACGTCCGTCCAGTAAGTCCACAGAACAAAACAGAGAAACACAAAAACAGACAAACAGAGGGCCCCTAGAAAGTCTTCCAACTCCATGGAAGCAAAACTGCAAGCTAGCTTAGACCTTTGAGGGGATTCCACGTCCCTCCAAAACCGATGAGGGGATTCCACGTCCCTCCAAAGACGACGGCCTCACGCCGACCAGCGGGAGCGACCCGCCTCGTCTCAGACCTTTGAGGGGATTCCACGTCCCTCCAGAAGGGAGAATCGGAACGTCTTCTGAAACTCCCGGCCCGTGGTCCTCCAGTGCGTCCACTTAGACCGCGTCGGGCACTACCAGAATTCCAGAAATGAGCTCACACAGAAAAGACAGAACAAACAGACACTAACCGTGGCCAGTCAGGCTCTCCGGGTCGGGGGTCCCTCGGGGTTCTTGGGGATCCCGGACAAGCCCCCAAATGTTATGCCCAGAATTCGTGATCCCCAAAGACCACTAGGGAGCCGAGTCTGATGCAAAAGCAAAGAGCCTTTATTCGAGCTAGCTCGAGCTCAATCCCCTACCTGCACCAACGCAGCAGTGAGATACCAGGGAAAGAGAGCGAGTTTCAAAAGGACAAAGGTTTTACTGGGGCCTGGGGGCAGTTGGTGAAGTAATGGCTATGGCCTCAGCCGATTGGCTGGGGAAGGGTCCTGGGGAAGGGTCCGAGTCCTGTTAGGCAGGTGAGGGGGGGGTTACTCAAGGGGAGGAGGTATGGTCAAGGTGAAGGACACAGAACAAGATGGAGTCGGCTGGCGTAGGCCCGCCCTTTCAGTTTTAACATGGGGGAAAAAGGACTCATCAAATCTACTTTTAAAAGGTGGGAAATACATAAAAATATTTTTAGTTCATTTAACCAATAAGCAACAATTTACACGCGTCATGTCTAGGAGTACTCATCAGCTAGCAAAAAAAAAAAAAACAAAAAAAAAAAACCATTTACACCATTCTCTTGTTTTTTAAGTTTCAGGAATACTGAGCCCCTGAGAGTTCCCTTTGCCTAGACACAATTAGTTTGCCTACTTCCTCCATTTGGAGGTGACTTCCACCCCATTTAGGGGCTGAAGAAATAGATCTAAGCAGCCACCTTCACAGTAGAACACACCAGCCACAGTCGATTGGACTGGGGGTGATTACCTGACCCAAGCTGGACCAATCAGATTACTTTTCTGTATATAGTTTGAACAGTGAGATGTTGAAGCTTTGAGGCCTTTGGAATTAAGGCTAATGTTCCCAGGCACCCCTTCCCATACAGATACCAAAATTAGGAGAATAGGCATAAAATAGGAGGCAGAGGGAGCAGATTGCCAGAGAGGAGAATGGGTCAGATGTTCGGGTTAAAGTGGAGAGAAGAGGTTGTGTGGCACTAGTTCTTGGCATTACTGCCTGAAATTGGTTTCCTTACTCTTCCTTTAAGTCCTAATAATAACCTTCCTTCTTGTTTGACCTTGAAGCAGAGTTGGTGTCTGCTTTTTATAGGCTAATAATCCCTGATCATGATATCCCCAAACACATGTTTCATTCTTGGGCATGTATTTCTCCCACCTGCAGTGCTCTGCATGTTACGGTGCTTTGAAAACCCAGCTCAGCAGCCAGTCCCCTTCTTGGGGAGGGTTTTAAGCTGTTACTGAGAAGTAGATAGGTGATAGGAGGGAGAACAGAGACTTTCAGGAGCCCATTGACAGAGAAGACGTTGGGGCAAAGGAATAGAGTAGTGAGGACCAGGATCAAAGCAGAGATTTTGCTGTGTTGGAGAATAGAGGGAGGAACAACCTTCGAGTATTTCTGCGAGGCACATATTTGTGATTTTGGCGCCATTTTGTCTGAAGGCAAAGGGCTCACAACATGCTGGATGCCAGGGAGGGGTCACACTGTAATTTATCCCAGCAAAGAGAAAAGCTATAGCTATTCTTAGGTATCCATAATAACCCATTTCTGTAGCACGGGGAGGTTCAGTTCAGGACAGGGGGCCACTCAGATATACCTCAACTGTTTCTGCTAGAATTCAAATAATCACATTTGAAGACACTATACTGCTTCCCATCAGGGGTGAGAAGTGTATGTGCAAAATAGTGTAAGCTCTGAAGGGCTGGGAGGAGCAGTTCCCTGGCATTGCTGAGGAAGGCCATAATGAGGAGTGTCTTCCTGCTGAGAAGCACCAGGATGCGTTTATTGATTGGAGGTGAATGCAGTGAATGTAAAGTTGGGGAGTTTTGCAGTTTAATCTGACATCTGTCATTCCTGGAAGAATGAACAGTTCAAAGTAAAACCTTATCCATATTGATGTGTACGAAAAACTCCAGGTTAGGAAAAATGGGGCCCACGAGATCAGCACTTGGAAAGCTAAGACAGAGCAAACGTCTTCCCAGTAGCTGTTCACAACACGTGGACCAAGCGAATTGCCTTGTTGGAAGAATTAAGACAATGCTGTACCGAAAGCAGCTAATACAATGCCTAGCTCAAAGTGGAGATTCAGAAAACGTTCTCTTCTCCTTTCAAAGAGTAGGGGGAGCTTTAGAAGCAGACTCCCTGACTTCTAGAGAGGAAAAATGGATTGGGAAAACACAGATCTGTTGTTCTGGTGTGCAGAGAAGTTGAATTTTTCCATTCTGGGGAGGAATTTTGCCCGGGGGTGGGGAGGAAGCAAAGACAGAGAGGGTGCATTTTTTTCTTCTTTAGCTGTCCTCTTTGCAGGAGGTAGAGAGGCTACCCAGACCCAGGCTCCCTTGATCTCCCTGTGCCTCCATGGTTTTCGGCAGTGTTGCTATTTGGCCAGGCAGCCCGAATCACATGCCCAGGCATCCCAGCTCTGTAAGGTGCAGCTGGTCTCGGGCCCTGTCTCAGGTAAGTAATGGGCACTTTGGGCTGCAATTTCTATTCCTGAATAGGCCTCCTATCTCAGAGTCATGCTTCAACAAACACTCAATTAAAAGGAAAAAACCTCTGGGTGATGGAAGGCACCCTATTACTGAGAAGCAGGGGATGTTTACTGAAGAGAGCGACTTCTCCCTAGTTACTAGTAGCCTAGCGAAGATTTATGAGCCAGTCTGTCCCACAGCAATCAAACTTGAAATGTGAAGTTTAAACCGGTGCGTTTTTTTTTAATCAACAAAACAAACTAGGTCATGAGAGTTGCTTAGAATTGGGAATTAGGCAAAGCAATGGAGTGTTAAGGCCACGGCTAAGAAGGAGCTAGGCCTGGGGTGGTTCTGGTAGCAAAATACACTAATTTTAGCATCAGACACCTACAAATGAGAAGTCGATATTATTTTTTCTTAAATGCTCGCTCACAACTCATGACCGTCTGAAAAAAATACATTTTCTCTCTGGAATGCAGGAGTCATCAGAATTTATTCACGAGGGCTGACTCAGAGTTTTGACGTCCAAGGGCAATCCTGTCTGATTGATACCGCTCAAATGGCAATATTGTTTGAAGACATGTAGTTAGAGAGATGGCAATTTAAAGGCTGTGAGAAGTTATAGGCAAAACGAGTGTAACATTCCACACTGATTTCTGACACGCGATACTACACGGTACTGAGTTATCAGTAACTTGTACGTTTGGCCTTCCAGAGATGGAGTATCTGAAAGGAAAGGGAGGAGGAAATGTGGTTTTCAGGTGTGTTAAATACACCACAGTTAACTAGTTTTTCCCCTGGAGCACTCTTTGTGGTAAATGAAAGCTCTCGTATCTAATGTTAATAAACCATGGTCATTTCTCCCACGTGGGTTACTTTGAAAAACAGTTGTTTTCCCTCAGACAGGATTTTGTGAATAGGGACTTTAGAGCCATCCTGTCTCCTTAGCCCCAAAGAGGGTTCTCCAAACAGAAAGTGGCATGCGTGTCACCATGCATGTTTCTGAGCAAGACCTTGCTGTTCACCACTCTGTCCCAAAAAGTCCAGCATTGCCTGTGGCATGCCCTCTGAAAAAGCCTTAGGGGTTAAGAAATTCCAAACAGGGAGGGAGAGGGGAGGGGAAACTGAATTAAAACTCGTTTGGTCGCTTTAAAATTCTCAACAACATTTATTTTCTCATTGGTCAAAACCAAAGTGACCGGCCTGTGGCTGTGCTAAAGATAAGGGGCCCAGACATCACGTCCCTTAAGCACACAGGTAGTGCCGCGGGAGATTTCTGCAGGGTAACGCCCGGGAGACTGAGGGAAGGGGTTGCAGAGGAGTTGAAAGCGGCACAACTTTCAGTGAGCTAGAGGTGAAGAGATGCCAGATGAAACTGCCAGTTGAAAACAGTCTTTGCAGGAGGCCTGGATTGGGGGCCGCGGCTGGGAAGTGACTGCAGAAATGGAGAAGCCATCAGCCTCGTCCTTGCCTCTCTCCCCGACCTTGGATCACCCAGCAGCACCACACTGGGTGCTGGGTTCCAGAAATAAAATGGGGAACAACACACCCCAGTTCCTCTCCTTAGGGGAGGAACTCCCTTATAGTCCAAGGGAGAAGAGAGAGAAGCTCAAGGAAATAGCACCCCAAATGATTCCAAAGTGGAATTAAGTGCTATGGAGGAAACAATCAAAATTCTGAGTTAGGGGATCCCATGAGGGTACAGAGCTTTCATAGAGTGGGTAGGCTGTGCTTTTGGAGAGACTGACCTACAAACAGTTGTGCTGTGAGGAGGAGGGAGGATTGCAAAGTTTGCAGGGGGAGAGGTTGGTGAAGTGTTGAAAGAAGGGTGTGGTTGGAGAACAGTATGCCTCTGGAACAATAAAACAAAATGGAACCAAAAGGAAAGGAAAAATCAGCCGTGGCCACAAGTTCCATTTTGGTCACGCGCCTTCTATTATCATAGTACCCTTCATGCTCCCCAGGCTTCCATTAGAAAGCCCTTTTAAGGAACCTGGATTCTTTAAATTACAAGTGACAGAAACCCAACCCAAACTAACAGGGGCAGTGAAGGGAAGTTACTAAATTGTTAGCCAGTCAGGGTGCAGCTGACTGCATGGATAGCTGGAACCGGG